TTTTTTTCACTTCTTATTTACATCCGGATGTAATCGAAATGACGTTTGATGTGATGATCGTGTGATTGACCGAAACAAACGGAAAAAAATTTACTGGAAACAATTTCGGGGGGGAATTTTCCCGAAACAAAAAAAAAACTACTTTCTTTCACCAGCATTCAACACTTTGTTCACACATATGGAAACTGAAACTGAAAAACCGAGTTAATTAATTGTCATTAGGCATTTTCTTGTCACAAACATTGTAGGCTATTTTAACACGAACAACACAACAAAACAAAAGACGGACAAATTAACAAGCTAATGATGATCATAATGATGACATGATGATGATGATAATCATGTCATCATCAAGAAATATGAATGCAAAAACAAGAACAAATTTGTTTGATGAAATATTTGGTCAATGTTTTCGGAAAACAACCACTCATATTAAATATTCTTGAAATTTTATATTTCCGAAAACATTTCTCACACTTGGAAAATCACAATAATTAAAGATTCGAACAACGAAAAATTACATTTTTATAGCAAAAAAATTTAATCGAATCAACGATTTTATTTTCTGTCATTTGATTCAATTAAATCCAAAAAAAAAACAAAACAAAATTCGAGAACATTTCATTTTTCATTGTTTTTGTTGTTGTTGTTGTTGTTTTCATTTTTACCAAATAAACAACAAATCAAAAAACAAAATTCATAAACACGATCGATCGATCGATTGATCGATCAAAACCAGAGAAAAACATCACTTGAAAAAATCAACGGATGAATGAAAATGATGAATAAATTTTTTTCTTTCTTCTTCGTCATTTCAATTGAAAAATTTCATTTCGAATGGCAATGACGACAACAACAACGACGACGATGATGATGATGATAATGATCAGCTGCTTCATTGTTGATGGTGGTGGTGGTCGGTGATTCAAAGACAAACTCTTTCATTAGGAAAAAATTCAATTCAATTTTTCTCTTTTCATGTTGTTTTTTGCCTTTGCAACTACAGCGTTTAGGCTGCAATCATCATCATTGAATTGAAAAGAAAATTTCCAAAAAAAAGAGAGAGACTTTCTCTCTCTCTTTATCCAAATGTTTTTTTCTGTCTGTTTTGTTTTGCCATTGTCCATACAATAGTTTGTCTGTTTTTGTTTCTTATTTGTTGGGTTTTCAGCTTTGCAAAATGATTCCAATCGTTGAGATTTGCATATCTTCTTTTCTGAATGATGTGTATTGCAAGGGTGAAATTTTCATTCAAAAAAATATCGAATAAAGGAATGAAAAAAAAGGGGGGAAAACATCTTCATGATGATGATGATAATGATGATGATTGTCAATATATTACAATGCGCGAAAAATTCAATGTCATAATGTTTATTTCAATCGAAAAATTTTTGTCAATTTTTCTTCAAAAAAATGAATTTCGAAAAATCCAGGGGTTTTTTCTGTTGTTTGGCGGGCAGGAAAAATTCAAAAAAACACTTTTCCATTTGCACCCGATAGGCTAAAATTGGTTTAAATAGACAAAACTATATATATATTTTACAGTTATATAGAAAATAAGATGATCGACAACAGAGAGAGTGAGGTGAACTTGAAAAAAGTTTTTCACATTTGTACCACACACATACACAAACAAACAAAATTGATGTTTTCTTTTTTTTCTGGTTTACTCAATTCTTTTACAAAATTTAAATTTGAAAATTTTAAAGTTTGTTGGTTTTCAATCACACTTTGTTAACCCTGTTTGCTCATCATTTTTACGGAATTTACTGAAATAAATCAACAAATAAACATGGCAGCAACATTACCATCAATAATATATCGTACAATAATCCGAAATGTTGATCGTTATGTACCAAACAAATTACGACCAATTTGGGAACATGAAGCTGGACCAAAAACAGTATTTTTCTGGGCACCAGCAATCAAATGGGTAAATTTTAAACCATAAAAAAAATTAACTAACCTAACCTAAAACAAAACAAAAAAAATCTTTCAAATCATTCTGCCCAACCTAACCCAAACCAAAACCAAAATAGAGTCTTGTCATAGCTGGAATATCCGATATAGCTCGGCCGGTTGAAAATCTATCCATAGGCCAAACAATATCATTAACTGCAACCGGTTTAATTTGGTCACGTTATTCATTGGTTATAATACCGAAAAATTGGTCACTATTTTCGGTAAATTTTTTCGTTGCAACAACACAAATAACACAATTATGTAGAATTATTATTTATCATCATCAACAACAACAACCGCAATCGCAACGTAAACAACTCGAACAGCAGCAGCAGCAATCATCCATCACCATTGATAATGTCAAACAAAGTTGATAATGATGGTGAACATTTGTGATAATATTTCTGGGAAATTTCTTCTGCATCAAGAAAAACCAAAATTCATTTGAAAATTGTTGTTATCAAACTCCCTTGTCATTTTATCATTTTTGTTTTGTTTTATCTGCTGATTTATAATTAAAAAAACAAAATTTTAAAATTTAAAATTCAAAAAATTATGATAATGACGACACTGTTCATAAATGACATATATTTTTAGCATCATCATTGACAACCAATTATGATTGAATACAGTCTTGTGATGGTTGATGATGGTTGATGATAGTGAATGGTGGTATGGCAAAGAAAATTTCCATTTTTTTCTTCAACTTTCGAAGGACATTCATCATTTTATCATCAAAATGCGAAGTAGCGAAACGTTTTTTTCCATCAATTTCTCGATCGAATCGATCGAATGATGATGATGATCCAAAACGAATCATCATTTCAAGTGAAAAAAGAAAACGAGGGTTTTTTCGATTGTGAGTGGGAAATAAGAAAGAAAAAAAGCGAAAGTTTGGTAGCTAAAGGTAGAAATGGAAAAAATGTGAATTTGCAGTCATATCAAATGGCCATCGCAAAATCGAATCAAATCGACTGATGATCATCATCATTGTTGTTTTCTGTTCAACCGGATAAAACAGGTAGAAATTTCTGCAGCAGAAGAAAGAAGAAAATGAATTTGCACTTAACAAAATGATTATGTTTTTTTTTACAAATTCATTAAGGGTTTTCACCTTGTTTGGTTTCCTACAAACACACACAATCATCATCGCCATCATCGTAATTAGCGTGTGTTTTTTTTCATGGATGATCATCTTATGACAGCCATTCTATGAATATTGCCGAAAGGTGTTTTGTTGATGATGGAAGAAAGAAAGACAAAAAAACAGATTTACAAACAAACAAACATTAAAATGAAAAAAAATGTAAATGAAAAATTTCGTTCGTTTGTTCTGATCTTTGGAATAAATTATTATTTCAAATCTTCTTGTGGTTGGTTGGTTGGTTGGTTAATGATAATGATCACGATGGTGGTGATGTTTGTTTGTAGCCATTTTTGGATTTTTTTTTTGCAGAAAAGTTTTGCTAATTTTCAATGGCGCCTACGATTTATTAGCTGTAAGCAAGCAAAATTATGATTTTGAGAGGGGGGAATCTTGTTTGATTTATTCAAATCAAATCAATCAAAAATTTCAATGTTTGATTCCTGATTGATTGACATTTTGAAATTCCAAAGTAGAAAAAATATCTGTTGAAAGATTTTTGGGCTAATAAAAATCCAACCACCTACACCATGGTGCACTTTGTTATTTATCATCAAAGTGGTTTTCTTCGAAGATATTTTTGGAAATTACAATCAAGATTATAATCAACTGATTTTTGGTGGTGAACGTAGTGTTAAGCAAGAATAAAACAAGGGTGGTGGTGGTGTTAACAAACAAACAAAATGGCAATTTAGATTATCATCAAACAAAACAAACAACACTTGATTTACCTGGTTAAAGATGAACCAGATTTTCAAAAGTAAATCAAACAAACAATCGTGATGCAACAAGCAAACAAACAAACAACATTCATAGTTAATATAGTCGTTCGGTTCAGGTATATCATCAGATCAGATCAGTTTCAGTTTTTTGCTTCGTTGTTTGCTTCAGTTTTTTCGTTGTTTGATCTTTCACAAACATCTTTTATATGATTTATAAATAGTGAAAAAAATCTAGATCCAGATATGAAGATCAATCAAATCAAAAAATGGAAAAAAAGTGGTTATTTTCATCATGATCATCAACAGCGTGTGGTGATTGTGGTGATGTTACTGAATGATGGTCACACACACACAGCAAGTTACCATCCCAATCATCAAGATGATCAATGGTTAACCATTGATGATGGGGATGTGGACAATCGATTCGAAATGATGATAATTTTTTTGTTTCAAAAATCAATTTTTTTACCTGAAAAAACCCATTAAAATCCAGATCATTTTCGGTTTCTGTTTTTTCGGTTTTGGTTTTTGTACTTTTCTCAGTGAATGGATCATTCACCTTACTGAAACCAAAACAATAACCTGTTGCAAGTGAAAAAAAATCTGTCAATTTTTTTTTTGTCAACTCGGAAAAAAAAATCAAAAGTTTCGTTTCGTTTCGTTTTTTCTGGTTTAATAATGAATTTACAAACATGAAAATAATTATCATCAACACAATGATGATGATGATGAACAATTCAATTTTCTTGGTTTTCCTCGATTTTTGTCGTCACCTGAAATTTCGTTTTTGTTTTTTTTTTCTAAATGTTTTTTCCCGCGAAAAATGAAAGGAAATTATCGAACCGAAAACAACAAAACAAGATACGGTTGTTTGATTTACAACAGCGTACGTCATTTGTGTATTTGTGACATGGATTATAAATCATCATCATTATGATTAAATCATAATTTTAGACTTTCTCTCATTTGACAATAATTGGATTGAAAAGTGTTAAATTTTTGTTTTCCTTACTTTTATCTTGGTCCTTGACATTTTTTTTTGTTGTTTGAAATAATGTGCAATCAACAGCTAACTGTAACAGTAATTAGGTGACAATATTCAACAGAAAAACTAACACTAATTATTCATTCAAACAAACAAAAAAACACCTAAATCACTGATTGATTAACCTTGTAAACTTCAAAAAGAAATTTTCCTAGAAAGTTTTTTCCAAGAAAGTTTTTTTCTGTTTCACCGAAAAAAAATGAATCACCCTTTGTTTTGAGAAATGGATGCAATCTCGTGATCATCAGGATGAATGATATCTTTGTGTGTCCAATCGTTCAATGATGATGACGAATATAACCAGCATGATTCATCGTGGTTAAATATAGAACAAAAAATTCATCGAACGACATCAAGTTGGTGAAAGTGTGTGAATAATGGTGATTTTGGAGCAAAATTTTCTTAATCAATCAATCGATCGATCGATCGATTGATGATTCAATTTTTCTCACTTAGAAATAGAAATTTTTTCACATTTTTTTTGTCCGAAATTTTGTTTTCTGAATTCTACTCAAACGGTGGTTGATAATCACACACACACACACACACCACAAATATAATGATCATATTTTTCATTGAAGCTTGACGAAACAAAAACAGAAAAAACAACAAAAACAACAAAACTTTGCAATGATAATAATTAACATATCACTGCAAAAAAAAATGATTTCTGTTGATGGATCAAAACCAAAGTTGAAGAAATGATTGAAAAAGTTCCAAGGACTTTTTCATTTCACATTTTTTCTTTTTGGCTACTTGGTTGCTGTCAATCACAATTTTACATTTTTCGTTTTTTTTTGTTTTTGGTTCGTTTATTTTTTCAATTTTGGAAAAAAATTGGTCATTTCGAAACTGGTCATTTTGACCATCACCACCATTTTGTCCAGCGACAAAATTAAATAACACTTTCAGCTGTCAATCAAAAAAATTTTTCTATTTCGACTCAATTCCAAATAACTAAATGGAAAAACAAATGTCCCAAATTTTGTTTTGTCTGATATATCCACACAAGTATGCTAAATTTAACTAAACAAAAAATTTCAATGTTATTTCAAATATTGATAATAATAATCTTTGAATTTTGTTTTCTATTTTTGAATTGAAAAAATTTAAAATTGTTGTTGTTGTTGTTGCTGTAACAACAACAACAAAAATTATGACGACAATCCATTACGTCGGATTATGATGATCTTGAAAATATTTTTGAGAAAAATTTCCTGTAAACTTGTTATTTTTCTTTAGAAAAAAAAACAAACGTTACAATGAAACAAAAAATGACGCAATTCCGGTAAATTTTCCAGAAAAAAAAATTGAAAAATTTTTCAATTACGACAATGATGAAATGAAAATTCATTTGAATCGTGGAAAAAGAAACAAACAAATTTTTCATCATTCAATTGATGATCGATCGATTGATTGATCGATTACATAATCATCAATTTAACTAATAATGATGATTAACGAAGACGACGAAAAAAGATTAATGATGAAAAAAAGAAAATCAATCAATTTTGCAAATGCGAACAAAAAACTAATCATTCATCGATTGCGCATGCGCAAAATTAATCGTAACTTTTAAAATCGATAAATATTTTTTTTTGAAAAAGTGAAAACAATCAATCGAAGAAAATCCAAATGATTCAATGATTTTTACCATAATCAAAAAAAAAAAAAAAAAAAAAAAAAAAAAAAAAAAAAAGGGGGGGAAAATTTTTTTTTTTTTTTAA